CACACACACACACACACACATTTTCATTTTGTTTTGATTATTTTTTTTACTGGTAGTATCTATGGATTGTAAAGAGCTTTTTTGATAATTGAGAAATAACTGTATTAAGTTGTATCTTCGAAATAGCAAATTTTTACAGAAAATCACTATGAAACCATCTTAAAATTGCTTTAATATTATTTGTGAGATATTTTCATTCAAAAGACTCTGGTTGCTAAATTTCATTAAGTATAAAGCTACAAAATGTTATTTAACTCATTCACCCCTCAAGACACATTTGAACTCTTCCGATTCAAAGGTTGGAGTATTTCATTATAAAATTTCAGGGGTGACCAGTTAAAGTCAAGTGAAATCAAATTTTCATTAAATGGAAATAAAGCATGAAAAATTGCATTGTTATACCAGTTATCTCTACAGGTTTTAACAAATTTCAAAAGAAAATAACTTTTCCCCGATCGGACGTGAAAAGGTATGGGGTCACCTGCCCTCGATCACGTGGGTTTTCCCGGGTACTCTGGTGTCCTCCCACACAAAGACCCCTCGCGCGGTAACATCCGGCCAAATAAGAGTGATTTATATAAGTTGAATAACTTGTTTCATAATTGTTGTAATATAAATAAAGTTTATATTTATTTATGTGTATTGTCTGCTGTGTAGTTGGTTTTTCAGATTTAAGTAAATGAACCGTATTCATCCAGCAATAAGCCCATGCCTGGTAATTAGCCCACCGATATTTATTTCAGTTTGGCAGAATTGCCTATAAGAGGTATTTCGTTGTCCTATAGCAACCCTTCTTCGAGTCAGAGATTATGTGAGGCTTATTGGAGGATAAATACATTAATTGAAACACTTACATAGACCTTGATTTGACATGTGTTTATAAATCCTATGACCAAGTCTGGAAAACTCTTGTAAGAGGTGTTTACTGCTACTGATCTGAAGAGGTTGACACTGAGGCTGATTAACATCAATTAGGTCAATATTGGTAAAGAACCGGTTATCAAATCTGATTGTAAAACACATTGGCAGAAAGCTAGTTCAATTGCAGAAAAATAAGCACAACGTTTCAGGACAAACCTAGGGCAATTCAGTAGTTATATGATGGAATATCAAATATACTAGTAGTCAATATATATATATACATTTCTGTTTGTGCACTGTTTCAGGGGAGACAACTACAAAACAGTACAAGCCAGTGTCTTTCGGCAGCAGCTCGTCCTTGAACATAGAGACGGGTGTTAGTCCCGGCCCGATGTCCTCCGCTGCCAGTACCACCTCCGCCCAGTCCCTCCCCTCACCACCCCTCCTCATCACGTCCAAAGGTAGGTATCTAAGCCACGCCACTCTGGTAGCTCCTCCCACTCGGGAGTGACATGTTTTTCAACCCTTGGTCCTTTAGAAGTTTTTTTAGGGTAACAAATTTAAATAGCCTTGCATTTTTTTATTTTCACATTTTCACATTTTATACACAAAATTGCCTAACAATTGTTGTGAAAATGGGAAATAGATGATGGAATTTGCCAAACAAATTTTGGTTTCCCAGGTGCTGAAAAATAATATGAAGACCGTATGTAAAAGATAGAATTTACAATATATTAGCTATATGACATAACATATTTTAATTTTATATTCACTTTTATAAGTTATAATTTATTTTGACATACTTCATAAGCAGTAGTAAATTCAAATGTTTATATCATAAGTTTCCTTCTTGTATTGGCTAGGTATTGTATGCAAAAATAATTTTGATATTCTCCTTTATGTAGATGTTAAAATTTTATATTATTACAATAAAATTTGTCATAAATTATGCGTCTTGAGATATTTTATGGATTTTTTGTTTGTTTTTAAATGAAATAAGAGGAATTTAAAGAATATTGTCATTATATTGTAAGTGACTGAAGCTAATTTCCAAGATTTATCTCCCCTTAACTGTTATCATAACCAGTATTGGGAAGCTGGTAGATAGGTTTTGCTACTTTATGATTTCTTCTCACATTTATTTTACTTTTCATATAATGTGTGTGTAAATATCATTGTGACCGACACTTAGTGATTTTTGACCTTGTTTTGACCAACACACATTTTGTTATTTTTTAGGCAACATACAAGCATTTTTTTCCATTTAAAAATAAGAAATTTAAGTTGTCTTAATTCTCATAATTTTATGTTGTAATGATACATGAAAAACAGCAATAAATTTCTTTTAAATAATTTGATCAGAAATATTTGAGGGAGAAAAAAGTTTAGAAAAAAGGAACAGCAGAAAAAAGTCCCATATTATTTTTGCAATGTATAAAGAAGTTTGAAAATTTAACTGATAATTTTTCATCTTATTCAAAATTCATCCAATCAGATCTCCCGACACATATGCTTGTATTTTGCCTGTAGAAAGTAGATGCTTATTTTGTGTTTATTTGTAGCATCAGGCTCCGACTCTGTCACCTCAAGTCCGAGGTTTAAATCCAAGCTAATCATTCCTCTATCGCCGAAGCCTTTACAGAAAATAAGGGGTAATTAAGGGATGATCCCTCCCAGCTTAATTTATGAGGCTTTTCATTTTGCTGTGTGTGTTAAGTTTTGCATTTAGAGTTATCTGCCCCTTAAAGCTCTAATGTTTAACAAACACTTCCTTCAGACAAGCAGACACTGAGCCAAAAATAGGAGAGTTCAGGTTTGTCCACGAATTTTTGAATTTGATACACGTACGTAATGCTATTTTTGCACATTTTCTTTACGATCTTATTCCCTCTCAAAAAATACTTTTCAACGTTTCTCATTTCGTTTTTATTTTATTTTCAATTATACTTTTTCAGTTTCTCTGGGAGAAATGTAATTCAATCTGTATGTTCTATCTGTTCAATAACGCTTTTTACTTATTTTTTAGAAGGGGGCGGGTGGGGGAGTAGAATTATTATTCGATTTGAATGTTTATCTCCAAACAAACATTATTTGCCAATTTTCTGTCCTGTCATCACGAAATATGTGATATTGGTCATTTCCCGTATGATTTTCAAGGTTTTTTAAAAACGAATGGTTCATTATTATAACTTGGTGAAAAAAATCAGTTTAACTCATTCACCCCCGAAGACACATTTGAACTCTTCCAATTCAAAGGTTGGAAGAGTTCATTATGAAATTTCAGGGGTGAATGAGATGTCTTGTGTCCTTTAGCCTGATAAGTACCTTTGAGAAATTTCAAAGGAATTTATGGAATTTTGGTTTGTGCTCTGAAGTGTGAAGGATGGCCTGTAATTCTGCATGTAGTTGCATTGTCTTAAACTAAATGTAACAATGAATTGAATTTGAGAAATTGGACATTAATTTTTCTTTGCTTGAATTAACTTTATTTTTACATTAAAAAAAATGGTAGGTCAATTACCCTGGTATTTGAATATTTATGCCGAAGTTTGATTCATAAAGTCAATTTTAATGGAATGAATACGAAATTACAATACTTAAATGGAAACATTCTAGGTTTAGATAAATTAAAAAGAAAGGGAGGGAAATCAGGTGGGGTTTGGATTAAGTTGCTGAAAGTCAAACAAAAAATCTGGTTTGTCACATGATGTTTTGATATTGTCTTGTTTATATTTTGGGCTCATCATAATCTGCATTTTGAGTTACATTGTATTTTGTTTTCAAGAAAATATATTTCTATTTAAAATGAACAGTAATTAATTCCCTGGGGAAAAAAATTATCTTGCAGGTGAGCTTGTTTCAATCATTCACCCCTAAAATTTCATAATGAACTATTCCAACCTTAGAATTGGAAGAGTTCAAATGTGTCCTCAGGGGTGAATGAGTTAATTATCAGAGGTGTAAAGTTAGCCTCTGTACATTCACAAATATTTGATAGATGCTTTATATTTGACGTTAGGTTCATTTTTCTTGTGGCGTTTGAAATGGTAAGGACATTTTTTTTTTAAATCTCACAGACTTCATTGTACAATACATTGTATATATATATTCGGGTAAACGAATGTCTCACACTTGGTATATGGAGGGCTGTAACCATTGCTTGCGTGGAGGGGCACATTAATTAAGAAGGTTAAGGCTGTCCCCACTGGTGCCCCCTGTAAACCCAGTTGGTATCCGACTAAACCTTGATTGGGGACTGGAATCACATATGTTATTAGTCATTATGATTGAATTGCCATTGGTGTTGGAAGTAAGACCTATGCATGCAAAATGTTGACCCACGCTACCATGACCTTTACTCTTTGACACCTTTCAAGGTCATTCCCCGCATATGGAACATTCAGGTTCATAAGCATGGTAGTGTTTTATAAAGCATGTTCTATAACTAGATTTTTCTTATGCATATTTTATGTATTATAAGTTTTCTTTATTGGTTGCTTGTGTATTTGGGACAGACGATCACTACCTGTCGTAAGATTGCATAACATTGTTGGTGATTTGACCTCTGCAGAGGTCAATGCTAAATATGGAAATACATGTATATGAAGTGAATATGACATTGAGTGACCTTTACTGACCCACGTCAAATTGAATCACCCAGATATGAAATGTGACATTCGCATGCTCAGGACCTTATTTTGTGGCTATGGTGGTCTTTTAAATATTTACTGTCCCCCTTTTACCAAAATATTAATTACATGTAAGAAACATATGAACACATTCGACCATAATCAAGGTCCTTTTCCCCATATTCGATTACTTGGATTAGTATTCTCAATTTGCGCCATTTAACTTTGACTCCCTGTGAAAGGTCATCCATATTTGTGTGTTTTAAAAAAAAAAATAGCTTGTGGGGGCAGGGTCTTTATTTGTTCTATTTGTTTTGAAGATCATGATCACTTCACATTCATACTTAAAGAAAGTGTTCCTTGTTACGCTTTTGGGGACCAAGCTTATGTATAGAAAAATTGCTTTAAATAAAGCATTTATCAGAATGTCTGGCAGTGAAGCTAAATATTGCAAATGTTATCACGTACTTCGTCTGTGTGAAGACGCAACAGAAAGAGACGATAGCAAACGTGTAATAAATAACCTGCTTTAGATGTTGTAGTCTGCACGTTTATAAATAACCTGTGTGTATTTCGGGAGATATATTGATGTTGGAGGGAGTTATAACGTAGGTATATGATAGAAAGAAATACACAATGTTAGATACAGAGGCTGCATGACATATAGATTGTTTGAAGCCCTCTGGGAGGAAAATCTTCAGACATTGTGCAGATAACGTGACCAACAGCAACTTTGGAATCGATTCATTCTCGTATATTTCATAACCCAATGCAAGCTCTTCTAAACTTGTGAAATGTAGTATTGCATACTGTAGCTTGGTAAAATTTACTTTACTGCTATCCTGACTTGCAAGAAAAATAATTCACAATTTTATGAAACTGGGTAAATCAATTATTTTAGACTTTGAAGAAAGGATAAAAAAATAAAAAAAAACCATACATAGATATTTTACATGGACAATCTTGCAATATACATGCATGTATTTTGTAATTGTAATGCAAAACATTTTCAGACATGAAAAAATATCTCTAATCTAATGCTGCATAAATATGCAAATTTGATTGACATTGATGCATGATAACTTGAATTTATGGAATATCATGTGGTAGTCTAGATATCTATGTAATGATCGTAGATATCTACATTATTAGATATCTACATAATCATTCTAGATATCTACATATTCAATCAAGATATCTACATATTCAATCAAGATATCTACATAATCAATTTAGATATCTACATATTCAATCAAGATATCTACATAATCAATTTAGAGATCTACATATTCAATCAAGTTATTTACATAATCATTCTAGATATCTACATAATCATTCTAGATATCTACAGATGTAGATTATATCTACATAATCTATAGATATATTGATATTAATTGTAGATATTTACATATTCATTGTATCTACTTATTCATTGTAGATATCTACATACTAATTTTAGATATCTACATATTCAATTTGGATATCTACATAATTATTCAAATCCGTTTCATATATGTTTTATAATCTTTTTGATTTGTAGAATTAATTTGCTTAGTGTGTATGATATCTAACATATAGATTTATCTGTGCTGTACATGTCTTACTGCCGAAGACTATTTCACGGCCGTTGCCATGGTAGCAAGGCCTAGTCATATTAACGTCTGCAAACAATTTACTTGACTTGTATTCTTTTAAAAATCATGATGATTTTAAGAAATTTCAATAAGGTATCACTCAGCCAAACCTTGTTGGGGACCATGTAATGAGAATTTCTATTAGAAATGTTGGCATTTTCGATACTGTTGTTCAGTAAAATCACTGACCAGATTAAATGAGAAAACTGTATTCATGATTGCTTAATCAGTATGACAAGAACTAGAATTATAACAGATGATTTCTGTGTGCTGATTTCATGGTTTCAAGGTTTGGCAGAACAATGGTGAGACATGATATGTATATTAGTGTTTTGCTATATGTATTGTTTTCAAAACTATTATGGTAGAATTTGCACAATCACCAAACAATGCATAGCCTTTCATCTACTTGTATATTTCATAATATCGCTCAAACCTGTACCTGAAAATGTCAATTCTGGACTAATTCAATAAAACCTTTGGGCTCATGGTATGTATGTATCCAATTGCAAACTTTTTTTCGTTAAGTTGTTCCATATAGAAAAAATGTAACTGATTTAGCAGAGAGATAAAATATTTGGCGTGATAGGTTGGAAAATTCCTGACCTTTTGTTTACTTCGTAGCATCGTAACTTTTTGGTACAGGTTTGAACTTTCATTTCATCATTTTCCCCAATATATCTATTGGATGCATTTGTCTTTGTTTGTATGACAGGCAAGGGAGACTGTAATCTGTCCAATGATCATTATATGTGTTGTGTGTAGGGTGTCAAGTGTACTGTACATAGGTTATAGTTAAGTTCCTGGGGCCTGACCATGGGCAGTGTCTTCTATAGAAACTGTCCTTAATTATTAAATATGAAGCATTACACCACGCTTTCATTTTACCGAGTATAAGAATACAGAGTTACGTCAATTATTCTTGTAATAATGTAAGAGTTGTGTCCCTTGTCTAGCTTCACTAAGAATGTAAGTATGTAGATTTATGTCCTTTGTCCTATATTACTATTGTGGGTTTTTTCCCCTTTTTCCAGCTACATTTGATAGTGTAAGGAATAAGAGTTATGTCCCTTGTCATGCTATAATGATATAGAGTTATATCCCTTGTCCTACTATAAGGATTTAGAGCTAGGTCCCATGTCCTGTTGTATTGGTAGTATAATGATGTGGAGTTATATCCCTTGTCTTATACTTAATGATAGTGTAATGAGGTAGAGTTATGTCCCTTGTCATGCTATAATGATATAGAGTTATGTTCCTTGTCCTACTATAATGATTTAGAGCTAGGTCCCGTGTCCTGTTGTATTGGTAGTATAAGGATGTGGAGTTATATCCCTTGTCTTACTTAATGATAGTGTAATGAGGTAGAGTAATGTCCCTTGTCTTACTTAATGATAGTGTAATGAGGTAGAGTTAGATTACTTGTCCTATGATGTCGAGTTATGTCCCTTGCCCAGCTATAGTGATGATGTAAGGATTTAGAGTTAAGTTTCGGATCCTGCTATATTATGTAATGGAAGGAATTAAAGTTAAATCCCCTGTCCTTCTGTATCAATAATCAAAGGATGTAGAGTTATTTCCCATTCCCTTAAAGTGCTTGCCCTGTTTATTTGTTATAAAGCTAGGGTACACAGTTACGTCAAATTATCCTACATTAATAGAGTAAGGTGCAGAGTTGTGTCCCTTGCCTGTGCTATTAGACGTCTAACGTACCATCTCCTACCCTAGATACAGCATGGGACTGCTCGTCGCCGAGCCTGTGGTCCACCTCCTACTACACCAGTGATTCAAACCTGTCAACGCCCCAAACCTCACCAGGCCTGCAGCGTCGTTACTTGGCCAGAAACGCGCCCCAACCCGTGCCTGTAACTGCACGACGTAGTCATGTAAACGCCCAGGGCAGGGGTCCCGGGTCTGAACACAGAGATGCAAAGTCTCGCGGCATGGAGATGTTTTTGAAGCAGATGGAAAAATTAGCAAAGATAGGCGATGATGATGATGATTCGGACACAGGTAGAGACAGCTAGCATGGCTGTGGGATTTCCAGCATGACCTTTGACCCCAAACTGGCATGAACGACCTCTCGACCGTCCGTCACCGTTCTGGCATGTGTCCTCAACCAATGAAACGCCTGGCATGGTGTTGACCTAGTAACAAGGCATGATATGACGTTTATCCATTAAAACAGCATGTTTTTCTTTGTTCATCTTTGCTTCCCAGTATAACTACTGCATGGGAGGTGGGATCTTTATACAGTCCTTGTTCGTCCTTCCATTTGTCTTTCCCCTCCCCTTGGTTTTAACGGACGTGTTTAATAATACCAATGATTTTCACTCCTGATATTGTACAGGGATTTCTTTTGTTTTTCGTTTTTTGATTAACATTCCTGGATGTTAACCTGGGTATTTCTTTAATTTTCCCAAGATATACACATTTTTTTTTGTCTTTTTCCAATTTTTTATTGTTATCATTATTAATTTGTTTTTTATATTTGATATCGTATTTTGAAAATAATCAGTTATCTATTTATTAATCACCAGTTCTGGTGTGTTATGGTATTGCGTGGATCACACAGATTCTGTTATGTGGTATTTTTTTGTCTTTCCACTCTATTTATTTTGTATTAACATATTTTTATTTCTACTTTATAAGTTGTTGTTTTTTGAAGAACACATTCCTGATTATTTTATCCCAAAATTTCTGTTGTGGTTGGTTTTTGTTTTGAGATTATATATGAAATTTTAATAAGAATTTTTATCAGAGGTGAGTTTTCTGTGAGAACTGAAACTCAGTAAATGTCTGAATACAGAAAAATATTGAAGTGTTAAAGTTAATGTGTATTATAAATTTCAGAATAGAATTTTCAGTGGGAAAAATTCTCTTCGATTATATATAAAGATAATATAGTAAAGCAAATCTACATTAGAGTTGCTTGTCTGTTTCCTTTGTGACGATACCTGGTTAGTTTTTTTCTTGCATGAGTGATTTGATTTCTGATACAAGACTGGACTGATGTAAAAAGTTCATCCTTCATTTCATTTCATTTTCATAAATATTTTCTAAACTCATTCACCCCTGAAATTTCATAATGAACTTATTCCAATCTTTGCATTGGAAGAGTTCAAATGTGTCTTCAGGGGTGAATGAGTTAATGTATTTAAATACCATGTAAGGAATTGGTAAGTGCCGCGTGACCTCATTTGACTTATGTTGTTGACCTTTCTCTTTCTCCACTAGATGACACTGTTTATAGTGTCGACCCCACCCCCGCAAAAACTGTCGACACCCAAGTACCACCTCCGTACCAGCAGGGATCTGGTCGTCACGACAACACCCAGACGTCCTATCAAATGCCATCGTCTCAGCGGGATCAGCGTGTGAGTGACAAGAGTCCAAATGTGCAGTCGCATCACCAAGTTTATAATATACCCATCAAATACCAGTCGCAGGCTCAGGTGTCGCACCAGCAAAGTCAACAGGGTCATCGACAAGATCAACAAACTCACCAAGGTCACCAAGGGTCACAAGGTCAACATCAGTCTCATCAACAACAGATACTGCAGGATCAACAACAAGATCATCAAATGCGGCAGGATCATCAAAGTATGCAGGATCAACGACATGGACAGGATGGTAGCCACGGTTTTCACCATTCAGATCACCGCCACCCTAGTCTGCAGGATCAACATGCATCAGATCACCGCCACCCTAGTCTGCAGGATCAACATGCATCAGATCACCGCCACCCCAGTCTGCAGGATCAACATGCATCAGATCACCGCCACCCCAGTCTGCAGGATCAACATGCATCAGATCACCGCCACCCCAGTCTGCAGGATCAACATGCATCAGATCACCGCCACCCCAGTCTGCAGGATCAACATGCATCAGATCACCGCCACCCCAGTCTGCAGGATCAACATGCATCAGATCACCGCCACCCCAGTCTGCAGGATCAACATGCATCAGATCACCGCCACCCCAGTCTGCAGGATCAACATGCATCAGATCACCGCCACCCCAGTCTGCAGGATCAACATGCATCATATCACCGCCACCCCAGTCTGCAGGAACAACATGCATCAGATCACCGCCACCCCAGTTTGCAGGATCAACATGCATCAGATCACCGCCACCCCAGTCTGCAGGATCAACAGGCAGGACATAATCAACACCGGCCCCATCATCATCATCATCATCATCAACATAAGGAGGTACAGATTCAGCACCCAACGCATGATCAGCATTGGATACACGATCAACACCAGAGACCTGATCATCACAAACCTGATCAAAGACAAGATCAACAGTTTGATCAGCGTCAATTCCAGGATCATCACTGGAATCAGGATCATCAGCCTAGGAGTGATCATTCTTACCCAGACAATCAATGGATGCCTGATCATAGACACGATCAACATGATCATCATCACAAAGATCACCACCAGATTCCTGTCATCAGTGCCGGCAGACAGCCCGCACAAGACTCTTCTTATGTGGCACGTCAAGAAATACCCATCCTCATTGGTAAACAGCACGATAAAAGTCAACACAAACAGGACAGAGATCATGACCTCAGTCAGACCAAAGGTCGTGAGGTGCCCATACAGATGTCGCCTACAAAAGTCCAGTCAAGCATCCACAAGATCCCTGTGACGGTCCAGACATCCAGCAAACCAGATCCACCGATGAGTCTTGATCCTCTGGAGCTCTATGACCGGCCTCCCTCTCCTCCCTTCCCTGCCCCTCCGTCCCCCTTCAAGTCACATGTTCCCATCACCGTCCAATCCACTCACCAGGAAGTGGATCAACCATTTCCTGTCAGCACGTCTGATGATGTGGGTAGATATCCACCGATCCCTGAACAAGTGTATCCTCCTCCGCCTCCTTCCGCCAATGTGGAGTCATCTTCAACGCAATCAGAGGACACGGTCATCCCGGTCTGCGTTAAGCGGGTCCAAGGTAAGGACGTGGTCAGCAGACAGAAGTCGGACGTTCAAGCGATCAATATCCCCATCACTGTCCAGACATCTGATAGGAATGCCAAGGTAGAAAAACTGTCGCCTAAGGTCAAGGAGAATGTCCACATGATACCTCTGATGGTACAGACGCGTGATCCGAAGGAAGACCAGAGCTTCACAGGAGAGGAGACGAAATCACACGACTCTGGCATTACCAGTCGTGGGTCATCTTGGCAGAGTGGTAGCTTCAAGGAGCACATCAGCAGCTTCAGTCCTGGGTCTTACAGTAGTACCCTTCCCATCAAAAAGGGCTCCTCCCCCACAGGAGAGACATTATGTGTGGATGAAGAGGAGGAGGAGGAGGAGGAGGGTGACACCAACAGCTTTGCAACCCTCCCAACCATCAAGCCTCTGAAAACAAACAAGACCTACAAAAGTGACTCGCCAGTTAAGGCATATCGAGGCTATGAAAGTGACTTTGAATATACACCGAAGCGTAGCAGTAAAACTAGCTCCAAATCTAAGTTGGATTCTGCAGGTACCAGTGGAGCATCTGGATACCAAACGGATGTGGAGTTTTTTGTGAGAGACAACCGGAATTTGACCAAGAATAAAAATAAACAGTCATCTAAGCCTTCCGACAGAGATTATATGAGCGACGCGGAGTCTGTGTCGTCAGATTTTTACTCCCGAAGAGACAACTTCTTCGGATCATCACCGGGTAAATTCTCTTCTGGCCTGACCAGTCAGAAATCCAAGGTCAATGCTCCTGAACTCCCGCAGAAAACCAAGGTCGCTGCTGTTCAGCTTCCTCAGTTCAACCCAGACATGGAAGAGCGGGAGTTCAATTTTCCAACAAGTAACACTTTCGACAACAACCAGGAGCGCTATTTTTCGGACAACGATTCGTCCTTAATAGATCAAGCCTTGGATGCAGGTCCAGGAGAGGATTTCTCAATTTGGTCGAGACAGTTATCAGAACAGGAACCAGAATCCCAAGGTCAAGGTTGGGCAAGGGATTCCCCAAGGGCCAGGAATGTCTGTTCAACGAGCGTGTCTCCCAAACATACGAAACAGTCTCCAGCATCGACAAGGGAAATACCAGGGAAGGAGACCTTGGTCCCAGTTAGAATATCTCGAGGCGATTCTAGGAAGGAGGGCTATGGAGGTACGGTATTATTTTAAGCCTGCTGCCCGACGTCTCCACCTTGTAGTGCATGGTCACCTGTGGCACCCCCCTAATGGGACCTCAGTGGTACTAATGATTTAGATCACTTTATTACAGGGAGTCGGCACATCCTTACTAACTCTGCGATGTTGTGTAGTATCGTAGCAGTAAGTATGTTGATGTTGTCATTATCGGTAGTTTCAGATGGCTGATCTACCCGTTAACATTTTAAAGAATCATACTAACATCCATCCTTCTTTCCTTTACAGACATAATCAACTTCCAATCACAAAATGTCATTGTAAGCTTTCAACCAATCACAGAGCTTCTGAATTAACAAACAACCAATCACAGAGGTTTATTCCCTTTAACATCACAGAGCTTCCCTTTAAAATGAGCCAATCACAAAGCTTACCTTTTAACATCCATGTAAGGAATCATTTAACAAACACAGGAATCAAATTTAACAACCAACAATCATAAAGCTTCATATTAACAACCAACCAATCAAAGAGCTTCATTTTAACAACCAACCAATCAAAGAGCTTCATTTTAACAACCAACCAATCATTGAGCTTGCTTTAAAAAACCAGCCATTCACAAAGCTTCAATCAAAGGACTTCATGTGAGGATTTTATTTAAAAGAAGCTTCTGAGAAGCCTACCATTTCACCTACTAACAAGATTATGGAATCCTGTGAGAATCCTTTTGATGGGATATGCTTTGCATGTTTAAAATTAATCAATTTCTTGCAGGTTTTTTTTTGTTCATTTCTTATTTATGATGAAAGATGAAAGGAATGATTTTAGAAGTTATCGGGCAAATTGTAGCGTCATTGAACTCCAAGATTACTAGGTTTTAAGGGTTTGCGGCTTATTAACTCATTCACCCCTGAAATTCTATAATGAACTATTCCAACCTTTGAATTGGAAGAGTTCAAATGTGTCTTTAGGGGTCAATGAGTTAATAGTGATTTATATGTACATGATTGATAATTTGACCCTATCTTTTCTTTTCAAAAAGTGTGTTGATGATTTGACCTACATTGTAAAGTAAAGCCCCTTACATGCACCTTTAAACATTATGTATTGTATTCCAGCTATGTCAAATTTTAAAACCTATATGTACTTTGTTGAAAATATTTTAAGCAATAAACTGCATTGATATTGCTGACCTGTCGGTATAATATGCAAGATATGTTGCAGAAGAACTTATAGAGTGCAATAGTGCATTTATACACTGCAAATAGCAGCTGCAGTTATACTCTCATAAATGAACCTCCTACAGAATAGATAGAGGAGGGTATTGCCGCACTAAGAGGAAATATACAATAATGGTGATGTATGATATATCCCCTTCCTTTATTGGAAGGTTTTGGGTGTGGATAATATTATCACTTTATCTGTTAGTGTTTGTGTTCATAGAAGAAAGTTTGTATACAAGATATCTCTTGAACTCTTCAACACATTTAGTTCAAATGGACACCCTCAGTATGGTAACTTTATGGTCTAAACCTGATCAGGGTTTGGATGTCCTCTGTATCGGTTGACTGAAAACTTAAATCATTCAGTCTTTCTAACATTAGCCTGATCATCACAGCCTCACTCTGATATGAAATTACTTGTTGTGGTCTTTAGCTGATGTCTATTTCATGTACTGTGATGTCTATTTCTGTGAATGGTGTAGAGTTTACAAATTAAAAAAGACATCACAAGGCCATGCCCTAATTTACTCTAAGCACCATTTTTGATGGGTACATGGATGTTGAAAGATGATGTAACAGAATCTACAGGGATAAACAAAGTCAGTTTATTTATGGGAAACCAGATACTCAATAAAGTCCAATTTCATCCCACCAGGGCTGTCCAGCACTGTTACAGTTAGATGGAATCTGAAATTGAATGAAATTGAATCCAAAATGTAGTTGGCTTATGTCTGACCTTGACATCAGAGAGGATGGGAAGAATTCTATGTGTATATGATGTGATAGACTGGCTGCATTTTACTACTAGCTTATCTCCCCCTAGTTCAGAACTTGGTCCAAGTGATAATTTTTTTTTAGAGTTATTTTTTTTCTAAATGATTCAATATTCTAGAGATGGGGGCAAGTCTGATAATGTGATTAACCTAGCGAGGACTATCTATATAATTTCATGACCAAATATGTTTTCAGTAATTACATTCTTTTCGACCCATCGACACAGAAAAGGTCAATAAATGGTTAATAAAAATGTGTCAGTACCGGTATATCACATTAACATGTGTGTCAGATAAGCATCATAAAATGTGTATCCAATATTGTATAAGAAAGATAAAAAAATAAGAATCATAAAACAGGTGTCAAATATGCATCATAAGATAGATGTCAAATAAGAATCATAAAACAGGTGTCAAATAAGAATCATAAAACAGGTGTCAAATAAGAATCATAAAACAGGTGTCAAATAAGAATTATAAAACAGGTGTCAAATAAGGATCATAAAACTGGTGTCAATTAAGCATCATAAAACAGGTGTCAAATAAGAATCATAAAACAGGTGTCAAATAAGGATCATAAAACAGGTGTCAATTAAGGATCATAAAACAGGTGTCAAATAAGGATCATAAAACAGGTGTCAAATAAGGATCATAAAACAGGTGTCAATTAAGCATCATAAGACAGGTGTCAAATAAGCATCATAAAACAGGTGTCAAATAAGGATCATAAAACAGGTGTCAAATAAGGATCATAAAACAGGTGTCAAATAAGGATCATAAAACAGGTGTCAAATAAGAATCATAAAACAGGTGTCAAATAAGGATCATAAAACAGGTGTCAATTAAGCATCATAAGACAGGTGTCAAATAAGCATCATAAAACAGGTGTCAAATAAGAATCATAAGACAGGTGTCAAATAAGGATCATAAAACAGGTGTCAATTAAGCATCATAAGACAGGTGTCAAATAAGCATCATAAGACAGGTGTCAAATAAGCATCATAAGACTGGTGTCAAATATACTTCATATGGGGTCTTGCAATCTTGTAATCTTTTGTAAGTATTGTCAGCAATGGTGGTTCAAGGTTTTCTGGTTTGATAGATGTTTGCAAAATAAATATTGGAAAATTCTCCAGTTAAATTGGTAAAGTAGATATTGGTTAATCATTCAGATCTCCTGGTAAAACCGTAAATGTTCTAATAGACATACTTATGTAATAGGTGTTACCATTTTTTTTCCCCTAGATATTTTTTTTACATTTGTTATCAAACCTTAAATTTCTCAAAATAAAGTACTGTATATTGTATTTTGAATTGTGAACCATTTAATGAAAAAAGGTGTAAATACAGGCCACCAGTCCCTATAATCATGGCCATAATTACAAGTTTTCTCCGTAGTGTAGATATAAGCTTATCAATGTTGACCCAGTGTTAGGTAGACTTGTGTCAATGTTACTTTTTACACCAAACCATAGGCAAAGAAATGTAAGAAAATTGTATTTTGGTAGAATTTAAAATGGCAAGAAAGTCGGGAAATTGTTTTGGAAGAATTGATCAGGGAACTTTGCTTTTTACTGCAAACCTGAATCATGTGATAATATTGTCAACGTTCCATATCATGCATTAATTTTAATCACTGGAAAATGTTTGTGAATTTCATAACAGCGGGTTCTTATGTTTTTGATGTGAATTTTGCTAATATTTACTAATAATCTTATCAAACACTCTATTTCAGGAATTAAGTCAATATACATAGTGAAAATAAGAAAACGAAAAGAAAATATAGCATATTTAATTCAAAACTGTCTTTTGTCTATATACTAATACATGTACTTCATAAAAACCCTGTTTAAGAGTTTCAGCTGGGCTAGACTATTCAGCTTAACTCATCAAATCTGTAATTTAGCACAGTAGTTATTACCAAATGAGCCCTAAGTTAAATACTTCATTGGTTACTTGGGGTGTTTAAGATTGTAAATACGGTATCACTGGTTGCTTCGGATATTTTGTATGAATACGGTATCATTGGCTACTTGGGGTGTTCAATATTGTACTTACGGTATCATTGAATACTGAAGTACTTGATATTACATATAAATACAGACCACTGGTTGGTTGGTGTGCTAAATATTGTAAATGCGGTAACACTGGTTACTTGGGGTGTTTAATATTGTAAATGCGGTACCACTGGTTACTTGGGGTGTTTAATATTGTAAATGCGGTACCACTGGTTACTTGGGATGTTTTATATTGTAAATGCGGTACCACTGGTTACTAAGTTGCCAGGAAGAACTTGACACAAACCAGGCTCCATTGTTGTTTCTCACAATGGCATCATTTTGACGACCCTGCTTTGATAAGAAACCCCAATCATAGATACACATGTACAAAAAATGCCAAGAATTTCTATATTTATGAGAAAAAAAATTGTGGTCAGACGAAAGTAATATCAAAACCGGGGTCACATTCGGTAAGGTTGTATCCGCAGTTCCCCGCTGGATTCACTTCATGTTTGGAATACCTTCATGTTTCTCACCGAGAACTGGAGAACAAGTAATTTTGGCAAATAATCTGATACCTCTCAGAAAAAAATGGAAAGGTATATTTGAGATTGGCATTTGGAAGTGTCTATTTTCATGTGCTGATAAGGAGCTTTGCCATTCGGAGAACTTTAGAAACTTGTCTGAAAATATGATATTACGCCCGACCGGTCATTTGTATGTCCATAGACGGCTATCTTCATCTCGTTCCTAACTTTTTCTCTTACAGAGGAGGATCCAAGAACCCAACATGTATCCACTTCTGCCAACATCAGCCTGGGTAAGTCCAGTTGAGTTACATTACCAGATTTTTTCCCCCCGTAGCTGCTGTCAAAATCGTTTCCAATCTGCTGTCACAGTTGAAAGTTTGTCCGTATCAAAACCTGCATTTCGATGTACACAGACACTTTGATAGCATGTGTCAAGTCAGATAAGCTGGTGGTCTGGGAGATATTTGTTACATACATATACACACATCACGATAAAAATTTGTGTAGATATGTAAGGGTTAAAGACGGAAAAGACGAAATGGATCTTGGTTTGGCTCCTCGGTGAAAATGTTTGCTATGGCTAGGGTTATTAGAAAATTATAAGCATGTAAGGGTTAAAATTGTCGATAGAAAAGGAATTTGTTTCAATTTGAAAGGTCTGCAAGGTCATTCATTAGACAAGAAACATTTTGGTTCTGACATTTCTTGCAGTTGTCGATTTCTCTTTTAAATCTTATTGGAATAATTATGAGGTGAAATATATACATGTGAAATTGATTTATTGATTAACTGATTTATTCCTTATGGCCAACCAACCAAAAAATGTTATACAGGGCCAAATTTTGTATATTTATTTGTTCAATGATGATAATCAAGCTATCAATGAAATGAAACCTAGATTTAATTTCAAATGTCAAAGTTACTAGATTTTTTTCTTTCTAATATCATGACAGCATTTCTTACTTTGTCAGAGAAGTGTGAAGTTAATTTTGTTACATCTATATTTAGTCTGAAATTAGGTACATTAATGTTAAGTTTGTGTTAAATAATAATAATAAAAAGTTCAATGTATTCAAGTCCTTTAAACATTTTGTTTATAAATATTTATGTAATTTGTAGTTAAAATTTCTCTGTGGAATTCCGATAAATACATGTATAGAGATGCATAATCACATATCGTAATTTTGATAAGATCAGGAAGGAAGTCTGCTATATACATATATATATGTATATGTGCACCTTACCAGGAGAAAAATGTTCGGATATTGATTTCGGCTGAACTGTAGGGTCAGCCGAGAGTTTCCATCGCTGGTATATGTCGGACATTAAAATTCAATTTGCCATCAGTTTGTGGGGATGAAATGAAATAAAAGTCGCCATCTTTAACCACCAGTGGAGTATTAGTAGGCACTCCGACTTAGTCTAATTAAGTAGCTACAAATGTTATGGAGCGATCCGTAATAGATTTGCGTCACTAATTAAAAGTACAGTAATGATATTAATACCCCTGTACTGAGATTTTCCCTCTGCGTTCCCAAACTGTTATCAGTGTGGGGTTTGTGTGGTGTGAAATTCCTCCTAGGCGGGATTTAATTATTTATTTCGGGAGATTTATATGTGTTGTGTATTCTCTGTTTAAAGATTCCACTTCACAAGTGAACCATTCGGATCATCATCAGCCGCCTACAAATGGAACTGGTGAGTACTCGGATTGTAAATATTGTACTCCTGTCTTCATACTCACTTTGTCCTGTCTTTTGTGGTTGGTACTCATTATGGAACACTGCAAAAACTTATGTCCTTTTCTCTAATATTCTTGATCCACTCTCTCTGTCTCTGTCTCTTTCTCTCTCTTTCTCTATTTCTCCATCACAATACATCTGTTCTCATCCTTCCCCTCCCTTCTTCTTCCTAGACTTGTCCTTCACCTCCTCTCTCTATCTCCATCTTTCCCCTCCTCCCCCCTAATCATCCTCATCCTTCCCCTCCCTTGCTCTTTCTTTCCTCATTCTTCCCCTCCTCTCTCTATCTTCATCTTTCCCCTCCTCTCCTCTAATCATCCTCATCCCTCCACTCCCTTGCTCTTTCTTTACTCATTCTTCCCATCATCTCTGTATCATCATATTTTCCCTCCCTACTTCTCCCTTTCCTCATCCTTCCCCTCCCTTGTTCTTTCTTTCCTTATCCTTCCCCTACCCTCATCTCCCTATCCTCATCTTCCCCTCCCTTCTCTATTTCCCATCCTCTTCTTTCCCTTCTCTTTCATTTGGCATTCTCCTCCTTCTATCCATTCCCCATCTTTCCCTTCCTCTCTCCTTTCTATCTTCATCTTTCCTGACCTCTTCATTACTTATCCTTCCCCTAATTTCCTCTCTCTATCCTCATGTTTCCCTTCATTACCTCTACCTATCCTCACTTTTTCCCACCTCTTCTTAGCCTCATATTTACCATCCTATCCTCTCCTTATTTTACCTTTCCCTATCCAAATCCCTCCCCTCCTTTCCCTATTTCACTTTTCCGTATCCAAATCCCTCTCCTCCTCTCCTTATTCTCATCCATCTCCTCTTCTCTCTATCCATATACCTCCCCTCCTCTTCCTATTCTTATCCCTCTCCACTTTTCCCTATCCAAAATAATTACCTCCCTTCCTCTCCCTATTTTTATCCCTCTCCTATCCCTATCTAAATCCCAACCATCATGTCCCTATTCTCATCCCTCTCTTCCTCTCCCTATCCACATCCATCTGCTTCTCTCCCTATTCTTGTCCCCCTCCTCCTCTCCCTTTCTAAATCCCTCCCTTCCTCTCCCTTTTCTCCTCCCTCTCCTCATCTCCCTTTCCACATCCTTCCTCTCCTCTCCCTATCCACATCCATCTGCTTCTCTCCCTATTCTCATCTCCCTCCTCCTCTCCCTATCTAAATCCAACCATCCTCTCCCTATTCTCATCCCCCTCCTCCTCTCCCTATCTAAATCCAACCATCCTCTCCCTATTCTCATCCCCCTCCTCTCCCTCTCCATATCCCTCCCTTTCTCTCCATATTCTCGTCCCTCCCGTCATCTCCTGATCCTTATCCTTCACCCCCTTCTCCTTATCTTTATCCTTTCCTTCCAGTCCTACTAATCCCCTTCTCAGCTTTCCCTGCAATTAGAACAGGAAATTGGAAGGTGTGATCTAATGTGTACCAGTATATAGGTGCTATACCCTCATTTCATGGTCCAGTGCCCTCCGAGCTACAGGTTTGATGGGGAAATAAACATAGCTCTGTAGGATGTAAGTTCCAGATGTAAACAAAAGTGGTCAGTCATTTGACCAGGTCCAAGCTGAGTGGCCAGAGTTAACTGTCCTTAGCAATGCTAATGGTTAAGTTGTATTATTGGATGGTCAAGCAGTTACGATTTATACATCTGGTCAGGGAACATATTCCACTCTGCTGTATGGACTGGGTGTGGATGCTGTGTCAGTTATAAGTTGGTCAGTGCTGAGAGACCAGTACAGAAAGGTCAGTCCGAACGATACAGCTGTGTCCATTAGTTACAGTCAAGAGATCTCCATGCTTCCCAGTGGTCAGAAGACTGGACACTTGCATCGGCCATTACCTCTTCAGTTGATTGGTATTCATAATTAGCTTTGTGTGTGTGGGTGAAGTTGATTTATCTGAAAGCTAACAGATCGGTTCAAATCACCAGGACTATATGTGGATATTTACTGGACTGGGCTATAAATGTGTTGAACCTGGGAATTGGAACTAATTCAGCAAAGCATTGTCAGCTTCATGAGCTTCTACTGAGAATTTCAAAATGATTTTCTTCTGTTGATGGTGTAAAGCATGTAAGTATTGTTTGGACTTTTGTCTTTGTTGATCAATACAGATATTTGCAAAATCATTTTACCTACTAGTTGATAAAAACAAAAACAAAACCTTAGCACAAATTTTTGTTTGTACAGTATACATAATGTATATTTATAGGCTTGTTATACTTTGAAACAAATGTTTTGCTATTGATGTATTTCATTAATGCTTTTAGAGGTGTTCCTATGCAGAAGTCGCCAAGCCCAAGGATAACGAGATAATGGAGATTAAATAGTTTTATAAAAAAAAACAAATTACAAACAGAAATAAAATCTTGTGAGGTCAAAACACATATCATATTTGGTAATATTGAATTTGATGTTTGTAATCGATAAAGTTCAAAGTTCAGTTAAAAACCATAAAGCTTGATTGTACATATATAGAATGAAATTCAAAACAAAAGCCAGGTGTTTCTGCTCTCAACACTGTTTGGAAACATGAGAATTTTAAACAATTAAACATGTATTTTAAATTGTTAGCAAGGTAGCTGTGGAACCACCTCAAGACCTTATATCATAAGCTGTAGAGGTAGATCAGTGTTACTCTCATAAGCTGAGGAATACGATTTATGAAAGTCAAAAAATGTTTTCTTTTTTCTTTGCACAAGTAAAGACTTTCCTAGCTTACTTAATAATTATTTAACAGTTTCGATGAAATGAAATGTCATCAGAAGTGGGACGTTTTATATTACATGTACATGGCTTTCTATCGTTTATAAGATCGTGATCATCCAGTTTTCACGACCTTTTGGCTTCAAGTTGTTCAAGCTTTTAGGTAGCCGTCTTCGGTCAATAATTATAATTACAGTGCGTTAATGGTTTCCTGGCCTGATACACTTCCTGGAAATAGAGTTCATTTCATGTGTAGCAATAACCTCCTCGTCTTCTCGGTCCAATTCAATCTACAATTATCATAATTCTATTAATTGAAAATCAAAGTTTTTGTTAAAATCTGGTTCTGGCTAGTTTTTCAATAGCTTTTGTGACCTGAAATAGTATTTATATGAAAAGAAAGAAATAATTCAGGCAGTGATATTTAATTAAAAATCTTTTAATGTGAAACATTGATATGCATATGTGAAGAAATGGGTTTTCTCCGAGTGCTCCGGTTTCCTCCTAAGTTAAAACCCCTGTGTTCTTCCACACTGAATTTTTAATGCAAGTTGGAAAAACTTATTTCATTATTGTTATTAAATAAATAAAATGTATTTATAAATATGAAAGTTAACTGCTTATTTAAAATTTTGTCATATTGGATATATACACCAAAATGTGATTATGCATGATATTGATTTTTTTTGTTATAGTAATTGTTGAAATTTCCTGAATCAATTCAGACAAAGATAATAAATGTTGTCTTCAGGGCCATTCAGTAACCAATTGACTTGCTATAGGAGAAAACCAATATTCATAAGTATTGATTTCTCCTAAAATAAATAAATATGGGATAACGTGACCCCATTGATGACCTCTATAAATTAACATAAAACTATCAACAAATTTTTGTCATAGTTTTATAAGTACTGTTTTACAACACTTTTTTGTGGACAGTGGCTTTCACTTACTTTTCTAATCGAGAACAGACATAAACTAAAACTGTTAACGCTTCAATAGATGAAAACATTTTTGTTGATCAATTTGACCATTGTCCATTTTGGCCTTTGAGCTGACCCACTTTTTGTCAACAATGGCTATCACAAACTTTTCTAACCGAGAACAGAAATAAACTAAAACTATTAGAGCTACAATAGATGAAAACATTTTTGTTGATCAATTTGACCATTGTCCAGTTTTGTCCTTAGAGCTGACTGGTTAGTGGGTAAAACTATTGACCACTGCACCAGATGATATGGATTATCAATACAGGGCCTGAAGGGACTTTCAGGGGAGTATGTTGACACGGTGTTATGCCTTAGCGTGGCTGAGGAGGGCCGCTACAATCATGAAGCGGGAAAAGTCGGTACTACAAAACCCGAAGCCCTATTGATTTTGCGATTTTGACTTCCATCTGCCCGGAAGTTTTAGCTTCACATTGGTATGGCGTGTGCCTATACGATAATGTTAGAGGCACGGAACTGTGGTGTTGGAATGTCTCCAAGCACAGACAACTTGTAACGTCTCCGATCTTTGTTTACAGGGCAGGCGTACTAAAGGTTCTGGTACATGGAATCAATTTCCAATCTTTTGGATATTACTATCAAATTGGATATGTTTCTGACATGTGGAGTCAATGTCTTTAGGATTTGTATTCACCGGTTAGCATGTGGAATTGATGTAGAAGAGTCTTGTAGATTTCGTCTCAACAGGAATCAGGTCTTTCTCGTGGAACTGATTTATCAGAAACATGTGGAATTGATGGCGTAGATTTTCTGAAGTGTGAAAGGGAAACGTTTCTAACACGTGGAGTCGATGTGCTGTGTGTAAACAATGAATGTTGACAGGTGGTAATGACTAGTACCGAGTCTAAACAGTGAAAAAATCACCCAAACGACATGTTTAGAAACTGACTCCTTGCAAAACTAGTCACTATCATGCTGTTTCTCACTTAAGATAAAACTGTTTCAAATACTGATCTGGATAAAGCTGTTTCATCATTGATCTGAATAAAGCTGTTTTGGTTTTTATCATGATAATTATCAGTTAACACCTGAAGGACCTGACTCCTTGAACAGTTTTTTTCAGTATTTATCTGGATAAATATGTTTCACTACTGATGTGGATAAAGCTATTTCAGGTACTGATATGGATAAAAGCTATTTTAGGAACTGGTATGGTTAAAGCTGTTTCAGTATTTATCATGATAAAGCGGTTTCAGTATTTATCGTTATAAAGCTGTTTCAGTATTTATAATGATAAAGCTGTTTTAGTATTTATCATTATTATTCTCATCCCCCTCCTCCTCTCCTAAAGCTGTCTCAGTATTTATCTGGATAAAGCTGTTTCAGTATTTATCATTATAAAGCTTGTTTCAGTATTCATAATTATTAAGCTGTCTCAGTATTTATCATGATAAAGCTGTTTTTAGTATTTATCTGGATAAAGCTGTTTTCAGTATTTATCTAGATAAAGCTGTTTTCAGTTTTTATCTGGATAAGCTGTTTCAAATACTGATCTTGATAAAGCTGTTTCAAAATTAAAGCAGTTTCAGTTTTTGTTTTGATAAAGCTGTTCCAATTTTGATTTGCATGAAAACGTTTCAGCACTAATTTGAGTAGTGATGTTTCAGTATTGGCATTTGAGACTGTTGTTTTAATAACTGGGATATTGCTGTCGCATCGATTACTTTAGAGAGCACTGTTTACAATATATCCCAAATGCAGAAATCTGTATAGACATATAATCTTAGGTTTAGGAATCCATGGTGATTCTGAGGAAATAGAGGTAAACAGTCTCACTTTTAAGAAATTTGAAGAAAACATGTGCATTTCTATACTGATTCTATACTGATTATATGACAGCATTAGCTATACTGAGTCCAAGCTGTTTCTATACTGATCCAGAGCAGTATGCTACTGCATGCTGATTCTGAAGAAAAGCGCTAATTGGATCTATATAAACACCACACAAGCATCACCAGGTCAAATTTGTTTCTTTCGTCTGCAAGCTGTTATTGGAACATGAACCACAATACACGCGGCATACACAAAGTCCGAAACAGCAGGACAATAAATTTATGGGCGATTTATTGAGTGTTTTGTACCAGGGAACAGACACTTTGACAACAGTCTAATGAATAAGTGGTATAAGGTGGGCCTATGTTGGATGAAACAAGATGCTGGGAATGATACAACTAATTTAGGGCACTTTATTGGCAGGTAACAGACATCTCATTTCTCTTCTAGGTTTCTACTGTAGATTCTGATGTTCTGCTCAACCTAATTGGTTACAGTTTTACAAAGTATTGTCAACTTAACCATTTCAATCTGGATGTTTTTTCACTCAACTGGCAACACAATCAATGGGATATTTACATGTTTTCCTTATTTGTTTTGTAATTATTTTTACCCAGAAATATTTGTTTGTAAGTTTTTGTTTTCATTATATATGGAGATCATTGTTAACCTGTATTCTCTGAGATGTTGTTGTGTTAACTATGCACGGTCTGTAAGACCTGTTCCCCTTGAAGTCTGTTCTGATGGAACAATTTGTTGGGGGGATCCCCTGGTATAGATATCACCCTAGATACTCCCAAACCTTGCTAGTGGGTATAGATTTTCCTGTCTGACATAATCACCGAGATCAGTGGTACANAATCTAATTTGCTGAAAAGTGTCCATATCTATAACAAATCACAAACGGATTATGAAACCAATTACTCTACACAGATGTAGTGGGTTTTGGTGCAACAAAATGTTTTCACCGATTTTACTTCATATGGATATCTCCTATTTCAGTCGAACTTGTATTAGACAGGTTCAATTCAAAATGAAATAGCTACAATGAAGAACAGGTGGTCTCTTAATTGAGGTAATCGTATTAGCAGGTTTGAATGTTTTTCAGAAAACGTTTGATTTTGTAAAATTTACAGAAATCAAAAACTGAAAAAAAATGCAATTTTCTGAAATTAATGTGGATTCAAGAATATGTTTCCGAGACAAACCAATTCCAGGTTTCCACACGAGGTTCATGCCAACAAATATCCCAATCGGGGACCAAAACAAATGGCACTTTGTCTGTAATTTATTGGACAGAAGTGATATATGTGGTCTCTTTACTTTTCCTCATATCTTTCTCCCCTTTTTTTCCCCGACAGATTACCCCGCCCACCTGTACAAGGAACTGCTAGACAGTCTAGTTACCGATGAATCTCATACATCTCCGCAGAAGGATGGTCATGTGACCGTTCAGGATCCTCCTGCCGATCGTGGTAGTCCAAACGTGTCATATGACGTCCACACCACTTCACAAAATGTGGCCTCAATCTGGAAACCAGGGGGCGGGCCAGACGTCGTGAGGAAGGAGTATAAACCTGTTCGAATAGCCTCGGACAAATCTCCTTCCGACAGACCTTCTGTAGGGCGCACGGAAAGGTCGCCGATCGGACAGACGGACACAATAGATAATTCTTGGTCTCAGCCAGTTAGAGAGGTATTTATTGAGAAACTCTAATTAGGAAAGAAAAAGAACTCTTTTAATTATCAGTTGAAATTAGTTTAGATATATACAATATTTGTTATGCTTACTGAATTAATCTCTAAACATATTTAAAAATAATTTGTCTGAAATTTGATGGAAAATATTTATAAAATTCTACGATCATATTTAAAGATATTTGCAAATGGCGCAACAAATGTGATGTTGTTGATGGTATCATTTTTTACTTGAAAACTGCTGCATAAAATTCAGTTTAGTATGCAAACTGTCAAATCCATAATTTCATAGATCAATATTTTATGTTTGTTACAAATCCTGTACAATTGTTGATTTAGAAGATATTTAGTCCACATGTTTTATTTCTGTGCTGTTCAGCATAAGGATATTGGGGCATTAATCTCAAAGGAGGTGAGAAGTTGGAAACCTCCACCAGGAGAAAGAGTCCCTAACTCTGAGGTTCCCGACGAGAGAGTCCCACAAACACAAGCTTGGGCAGAGAACAGTCACTTTACCCATCCGGAGCCATACTCAGAACCCTACTCCGATCCATATCCCGAACCTTTCCCGGAGCAGGTGCCTGACCTGGTGGTTCAATCCGACTCAAAGAAGTCCCGAGAACCTTCGGTCAGTAGTGCGTTTGGACGTGAGGGTGCGGAGGAGGAAGACATGAACCACTTACCCCCCACACAGAGCCCCTTCATCACCCTTCTACAGAAGAGCAGACGTAAGCTATGTTCATATATAAGCCCGCTAAGGGAGCTAACATTTTGTAAAAAAATACAGTCTAGAAGTTTTCAAGGTATTCAGCCTTTTATGGTTTATGATATTGTGACAGATTTATTTGAAATGGTCAATACAAAGCATCTGGCTTTATAGGCCAAACAATTTGAAATTCAAAACAGTCATCAGTCTTTGCCTGAGTGAATTTGTCTGCATTTTAGTAAGTCTCCTATTTGAGACATGGTAAAGGTCTCCATATGTTTGTATACTGGGTGTATCTTCAATTTTGAGACAAAGTAAAAGTGTCCAGATTTCTATGCCTGTGTACTGCATGTGTCTCCCAGTGTGAGACACAATACTGTTGTCTGGTTGACAGTTTGTCTGTAAGAGCGAGACACAAAATGTTGTGTTACATTTTGTCTCCCATTGTGAGACATAAAAATGTTGTCTGGGTGACAGTTTGTCTCCCAGTCTGAGACATACAAATGTTGTCTGGGTGACAGTTTGTCTCCCAGTCTGAGACATAAAAATGTTGTCTGGGTGCAAGTATGTCATCGAGGGTGAGACAGAGAAATGTTATCTGGATGTCTGTGTGCTGGTTTTCATGTGTTAAGGAGTGTGAGACACATATATGGTGTGTGGTATCTGAATATTTGTGTGTCTCCCATTATGTTAATTTAGTCATCTTGTCAACTTTTATTATCGTTAATAAGCGTCCCACTAGGGAAGGTCTATTGACTCAATGGTTAATACACATGCTCTTCAGCAAGATGGTCGGGGTTTCATTTCTCGATCAGATGTGGGCTTTCTCTGGGTACTCTGAATCATCCCATTTTTAGACCCCCAGTATTCTTCTATTTCAAGAACAAAACTTATTAACTTCAGCATATAACTTTTTTCATAATTATAAAAATGAACTTTCATTTTAAAATGATGTCCCTTTGACACGGAAACAATACACTGGAGAGAAAAAAAATGTTAACCACTGACTAGACGGAAACAATATTGAAAAAATGAATCCTGTGTAAATTAGATGCACACCTGTGACCCAATCAACAGGTGTTCCCGAAATAGATATCTTTTAGGCCAAGTGAACATTTCGTCTGTTTTCTGTCATTTTCTTCAGGCAAAAAAAAAACTATAAATAGATTCCAATGTAGGTAAATAAGCAACTTTTTTTTTTGTACAAACATTTAGATTCTTAAGGTATATTTTTGCAGTTGAAAAAGTTTAGGGCAGCACCAAAACTAAGGAAAGTTAGAGTACATGGGAAACAGATATTTCTTTATTTGGCCTAACCAGGCTAAGCCTACCTGAATGACAGACACAGCTGTTACGTGAACCAGATTTGGATTTTATTTCATAAACTAATTAGTATTTCATCGATATGGAAATCTGTGGACTCTAGTTTATTTGTGTAACTAAATGTATTTCTATAGAGAACATACAGTCAAACTATTATAAAAATGTTCTCTTAACACAGGTAATAGCTTAACACAGGTGATCTCTTAACACAGGTGGTCTCTAACACAGGTGGTCTCTAAACACAGGTGATCTCTTAACACAAGTGGTCTCTAAACACAGGTGATCTCTAACACAAGTGGTCTCTAGCATAGGTGGTCTCTAACACAGGTGATCTCTAAACACAGGTGATCTCTAACACAAGTGATCTCTAACAACACAAGTGGTATTTAACACAGGTGATCTCTTAACATAGGTGATCTCTAACACAAGTTGTCTCTAAACACAGGTGATCTCTAACACAAGTGGTCTCTAAACACAAGTGGTCTCTAACACAAGTGGTCTCTTAACACAGATGATCTCTTAACACAGGTGGTCTCTTAACATAGGTGATCTCTTAACATAGGTGATCTCTAACACAAGTGGTCTCTAACACAGGTGGTCTCTAACACAAGTGGTCTCTTAACACAGGTGATCTCTTAACACAGGTGATCTCTAACACAAGTGGTCTCTTAAAACAGGTGGTCTCTTAACACAAGTGATCTCTAACACAAGTGGTCTCTTAACACAAGTGGTCTATTAACACAGGTGGTCTCTAACACAGGTGGTCTCTAAACACAGGTGATCTCTAACACAAGTGGTCTCTTAAAACAGGTGGTCTCTTAATACAAGTGATTTCTAACACAAGTGGTCTCTTAACACAGATGATCTCTTAACACAGGTGATCTTTAACACAAGTGTTCTCTAGCATAGGTGGTCTCTAAACACAAGTGGTCTCTAACACTTGGAGTGCTTAATTATTTCAGATTTAAAAAGTCCATGATTGGTTTATATTTTAAAAAAGTGTTTACAAAATGTTTATTCATGCAAACTGAGTGCTTACAAGAAAGGAAGTAATATTTTTATTTTAACAGAAAGAATTAAAACAGTTATTTTTTGTTTTCTCTCTTTTTTTGTTTGATGTTTTACAACTGTATGTTAAAAGCTCTTTTATACTCAAAACATTTAAATGAACTTAAACCTCAAAAACTACAGCATCAAAACAAAACTCAAAAATAATTAGTGGATCAGCTAATAATTTGTTTCCTTATGCTTAGGTATAAACGGTTGAAAGATGACAATAAACACAAAAAAACAGTCAATGGAAAACAATTTTTAAAGCAATTACATCAGATCAAAAAACCTTTCAAAATTGTACATCAAATTGCAAAAGCCTACAAGAGAAATGATGAAAGGCTTATCACACAACTACAATCCATTCTGTCAAATAACCCAATATAACAGAGTATAAATATTGACATTTGGTTTACTACAAATTTTCCCAGAGATCACCACCGTTAACTGCCTAAGTAGTGTGGCACATGGGAAATGTTTTACCGAGTATATCAATACAACAAGCCCAAGGGGAATAACCCAAGCCAGACAGCCATTGATTTCGTTGCTGGACATATGGCCATAGCTTCAGGGACGTATTACCGTGTCGGCTCTAACGTTGTGTAGTGACACAGCCACATTAGGTATAACTAGGTCTGGGATCGTCTCCACCGACTTCCTATCTACTAAGTGGTAGCATTTATCTAATTTGGTGTTAATATGTTAATTATAGACTCTCAATGTTTTTTTGATGAGTTTTAGATCCTTAGAGAGCAAAGCTTTACAAAGGTCAAATGTATTCTTGCCTATTTTAAGATAAAGCTGTTTGAGATTTTTATAGCAAAAAGGCTAACTTTACAAGAATGTTTGATTGGAAAGATTTTATTTTTTTTTGCATCTAAAATTTCTTGATATTTTTTTTGTTCAGTACATGTAACATTCATTAATTAATATAAACAATCACCTATAGTGTTTATATGGGAATAAAATGTATTCTGTCACAAAAGTATCAGAATTAAGTAATTACTTGAATTTGCATTAAGTATACACTTAAACAGTATATGTTTGTTAGAACAAGACTTGAATTATAAATCATTTACCTATAGAAAAAATTAATAAAACAGATAGTTATTGTGTGGTCATTGTGTAAGAACTGAGATAGGTTAGGTGAAAATTGTATCCAGTGGTTATGCATCAACGGTTGTTATACTTTAATTTGTGATCAACTTTCTGTCCCTGATAACATAAACTTGGTACAGTACCAGGTAATTCATGTAAATGCCATCTCTGTGGGTTTTGTCAGTACAGAATGAGGTCATTTCAAGGTCGCAGCCATTAAATCAAAGTCAAATCAAGGTCATAATCTGGGACAGGGAAATAGACAACAGCTGTCGGTAACGTGTGAAATACTCCTGAGGAGAAATTGATTATACATGTATGTTACAAATATTTACCTGTTATTGTATTTCTATGGTAAAGAAATTTATTTAAACTTTTGAAATTTTAAAATTATACTGTATGGTTATCAAAAAGAAGTAGTTTGAAATAAAACTGGACCATTTTTTTACAATGGATATTTGAGACTCGAGAAACTTTTAAAGCATTGAAAAAAAGAAAAAAATGAAATTGATTTTTTTTCCTTTTAAAAGAAAAATGAAGATGTTTCTTCTGAAAGTTCATTTGAAATATTTAATTTAAGATTGACAAGAAATTGTTAAAATGCAAAGCAGAAAGTTTTAAAAAAAATTGTTCATAGATTATTCGTAATAGCTGTTTTATGGCATATAGGGTTTATATTTTATTGGCCTTTTAAACATTAAGATATGAAGTTTGATTAAATGAAATAGACGTTTAAGTAAATTGATCACTTGTAAACCGACCAGTGTTTATGTAAATGTCTATGTTGATTGTGTAATTGGGAGTCGTTTCCTTTCATTCTTCAAATAGGTACGTGTATTTATTGATACTTGGTTGAAGATCAAGTTCTTCATAACAGATCTTATGTTGGAGATTTTAATTAATTTGAGTGGACAGCACAATAACAGTATGTACCTGAAGTAGCTCTCAACGTACTTAACACTCTAGCGTTAAATTGTTTGTGTAATGTATTCCGGATATATCGGCTATCTCCAAAGTGTACGTGGTAAGATAATGTTTTGATTACTGAAACTACAGGCATTCAAATATATAATCAACCTCAGGTACCAGTCATACCTGAAATGTGTATCTACCTGGTTGGTATATATATATATATATATATATTTGCACTTGTACTTTCATGCAAAGGTATAAATAGTATCAAACTAATGTTTTGATAAGATTGCCAAGCGGATTTACAAGAACCGGCCACTGTAATATGTAAGGTGATGTGAACTGCTCTGGTACATATACATATACCTTTGGGTTCTGGGACAACGCGATAAGCCTGTGGAATTAGTCTACCTGTGGTACACCTGTGTTACAACACAAGTCTTACCTGGATGTTTTTACCTGTGTGTGTGTATACCTTAGGGGTACAACGGTACACGAACTGCTTGGCCGAGCCCAATGTTGGGAAGACCAGTCGGTTCATAATACACAACAGCCAAATCAAAAGATTATTGATATGATCACGGTACAATGACAATAATATTCCCTTATTGCTGTCATGTGCGGGAGAACCGTTTTGTAGTATTGACTACCTGGCGTGACCTCTGACCTGCTGACCCGCGACCTTACCTGTGTTGTGACAGAGTCGCTGTAGTGTGTCGGTACATTGGCTAAGCAGTCTATATTATAGGTGTCTGAGACTTTAGGCCAGGAAGTATGCATGTCGCCGAGTAGCGAACCGACTTGTGATGTGCAGATATCAAAAACGGCACCAAAATTTCACGAGGATTTACTTTACTAGTCAGCGTTGTGAATATTGTGTAAACCATTTTCAGAAGCGGGACATCCCGAGGACATGAAGTTTTCTAGTCACGGGCCTCTGCCAGGGGGTAAGATTTTAAACTACACCATTCTGTCACTTCTGTACATATTAGCATACTTTATACTCGTCCTAAAACCTTCACAACTTCTGGGCTTTTTGTGCATCTTTCTCACCAACCGAACTCTCTCACATAACTTAAGCTTGCCCGCCAGCCTCCAGGTTGTGCCTGTATGCTGTTGACCTTCCGAGTGTCATGTGTGGTTTTAAATTGGATCTAATGGTATTCATCCACTGGCTGTCAACTGACATTAGTCATGTTGTTATGAATTGTGAAAAATTGGCTGCAGACCAATACCTAAGTGTATTGGTCAAATAAATGGCAGCTTGGCTTTGAATATCTATAAAAATTAAGCTTTTTCAATATCAAATATAATGTTCTTTTCACTAATATTTTGATTATTTTTAACATGTTTTAATAGTTTTCTTCACTTTTTTACATGTTTGGCTATTTTATCTAATATTGGCAATGAGTGTTTTAGTCCTGATGTTGGTGTAATAAGATTTAAAGGCAAAATATTTGCTTTATTTTAACATTGTAAGTAAAATTTTGTAAAAAAAAAAGAATTGAAAGGGAAGATTTTTAATCGAGTAATGACAGTTGAAATTATTATAGAATTTTTAAATGACAATTTGTTAGAAAAGTGTCACTTCCAATTGGTATGCATCAAAGCCGAAAGCATTAAATTGTATGCATCTCTGTTCTGCCATGTGATACTGCTTCACCTCATGAGAGAGAACGCCGAGCATATATATATATATATACATCTGTTTTATAGCAGTGCATTTGACTTGTAAAATAGATTGCCATGCAAGCTATTAATTATGCAAATAAAAGTGACAGTGTCACATTCATGTTGTGGTATATAGCGTGGGTGACAGTTGGTCCCATATATATATGCATACACATAGACACCGCTTGTAAGCATGTTGTAAGATCCGTGTATATGTAGTTTTGTTATATAACAGGTAGTACGAATCAGAAACTAATTAATAAGATTGCATCGCTCTTGAAATATGCAAGGTTTGCGTGAGTTTTTAAACTGAATTACAAAAATGTGAAAATATGGTGTTTCCCATGTATACATGCATTAAGGAAATGGATATAAATCTTTTCGAAGTAATTTTCACTTTTTACAGTAGATTTATAGGGTAAAACATGATAATTTTATAAGCATGAAGTTGATGATGGAATAAGTACACATGTTCATTGAGCAGAAATACTGAATAAGCACAATATTTGAAAAAAGTATGAAATCTTTGGTTAGCACTAGAATTGACTTGATGATAATATGATGTTACCTCTGCAGAACTTTATTTAGAGTTACAGGAAACATATATTTTTAGCTTGTCCTAGAATTTTGTTTAGAGTTAAAGGAAAAGTATATCTTTAGCTTACTTTAGAATTTTGATTAGCGTTCCATGAAAACATGTATATTTTTAGTCTGCCCTTATCGATGCACTGATATTTTCATAAATGTGCATGATGCTTTTCTGGTCAGAAAATACTAAAAAAGTATGGAAAGATATGGATGAAAATTAGGATAATTTTGTAGTATCCTTCAACTAAAAAAGGGCAAAATATATATCGAAGCTGAAACTGTTATTATCTAAATTCTGGGACATTATGTGATTTGAACATAGTTATAAGTAAATGTTGTGTTATTTTTGGGTAATGCTAACAGAACTGTGTACATCTGGGTCGTTGGAACCTGAGACTCCAAGTATTGTCAGCTTTGCAGCATAACAATACACATTTTCAGATTGGTATATAACTTTTTCAGTTCATATTCTAATTATGATCTTGAAAGAAGGTGCAGAACATTTATATCTTCATGAAGAAACTACAACAAAATTAACATTTTATGAATTTTATGTTAAGTTGATCATGCTTTTGGAAAAGATATTAGTCATCTTGATTAATAGTAAGATTAGCTGTAAAGAAATACCTACCGACTGTTACTAATTGGTTTTGGTGGTGAAAGTGACAGGTGTAGTAAGTAAAATGTATATATATAGTTATATTAACACTCATTGACCGGATATGTGTCCAGTATTATATATACACACACGGACAAACACATATATATATATACATACAAGAATGATTTAGTCTATAGATATGTATTACCTATATATATATGAATATTTTATGTGAAGGCCTGTGGATTATACATGTAATACATTTCTACTGTGGAATGAAGCAACCTGTCTTGTGTGAAATATGATATGCCCGATGTATAACGATGACTTCTACAATCTTTAACAATGTTTTGTATTTTGTTCAGAGGTTTGAAATAGATGAATACAGATTTAGGAAATTAGAAATATGGGTTCAACACTTTTTTCATAAGCACACAATATAATCATAAACATCAATTAGATAGACCATAGCCTAAACAGTCCATAAGCACAGATATTGTCTAGCTTTTGATTACAAGACTAAGGTAAGCAAACATATTGAATTATCAAAGATATTGGTTCAGCATCAAAATTGAGTAAGAATTATAACATCGAATAAGCACAGTTATTGAGGAGCCTTGTAGGTGGATAAGCACAGGGATTGGAAAGTCCACACAAGGTTAGCAAAAGTTTTATATAAGCTGGCAACTTGATGAATACAAAAATTGGGAAAGCAAAATAATTGGAGAAGCACATTGAGTAAGCATGCACAAGCATATATAGGGATCAGGTAAGCACAAGTACTTGGAGAGCACAGAAAATACAAGCACAGGAAACGGGAAAGCACAGGAAATATGTAAACACAGGAAATGGGGAAGCATAGGAAATGGGAAAGCACACTAAATGGGGAAGCACAGGAATTGGGAAAACACAGGAAATGGGGAAGCACACAAAATGGGGAAGCACACTAAATGGGTAAGCACAGGAATTGGGTAACCTCAGGAATTGGGTAACCTCAGGAAGCGGCTAAGGATGTTTAAATATTGAATAATTGGTGTTCAGTAAGCACTTATTTTTTAGCACAGGATTTGGATAAGCTTTTCAGTTATTCGGGATAAGATGCTCATCCTATCAAACTTTTTGTGTGGGAGGGATTCATGGTAATACAACCTACATCCTGTTTCATGCAAATCGTTTGCTGGTTGACATGACAACGATTGTTCATTCTTACTTGTACATATGACTAACAACTGTTGCCACATGAATTCCAAACTTTAACAGGATATAACATTTAAATTGGGAAAAATATTTACAGGAGATGGATAGAGATGAAAAAAAAAGAATTAAATTTGGACAATGGAATGAAAGTTATATGAATCATCTGTTGGACATTCATTTGAGATTTGTCATCTAAAGTGGAAGTTTCTCATTTAAGAATGTCACAATGAATTTTAGAACCCTTACATTGTATGGGTTTTCTATTCTCTGTTTTCTCGATAACACTATACAAGTGTGAAATTACTTGTACCTGTCCAACACAAAACACCCCCATTATGACACCTCCTTTTCACATTGCTCTGTCCTTACAAACACTTTTCATCCCCTCGCTTAGTCCTTTCTTTCCCTTCTTTCTTCTCACAATCATCATTCCCGTCCCGTTAGTTTCCTTCTCCTGTTCCTGCCACCATTCCATTCTGCCTTCTTTTCTTAGTACCATTTCCTTCTCCTGTGCCTGCCACCATTCCATTCTGCCTTCTTTCCTTAGTGCCATTTCTTCTCCAGTGCCTGCCACCATTACATTCTGCCTTCTTTCCTTAGTACCATTTCCTTATCCTGTGCCTGCCACAATTCCATTCTGCCTTCTTCACTTAGTGCCATTTCCTCCTCCTGTGGCTGCCACCCTTCCGGTGGGCCTTCTTTACTTAGTCCCATTTCCTCCTCCTGTGGCTGCCACCATTCCATTCCGCCTTCTTTACTTAGGGCCATTTCCTTCTCCTTTCCCTGCCACCATTTCATTCTGCCTTCTTTCCTTAGTTCCATTTCCTCCTCCTGTGCCTGCCATCATTCCATTCTGCCTTCTTTACTTAGTGCCATTTCCTTCTCCTGTGCCTACCACCATTCCATTCTGCCTTCTTTACTTAGTGCCATTTCTTCTCCTGTGCCTGCCACCATTCCATTCTGCCTTCTTTACTTAGTACCATTTCCTCCTCCTGTGCCTGCCATCATTCCATTCTGCCTTCTTTTTCTTCCCCTATTTTTGCCCCTTTCCCTAAAATTTTCCTTTTTTCCTCCCATCTTCATTCATTCTTCTTCTTTTCCATCTTCCCTTTATTGCTGCTGCAGTTTTTTCATCATCTACTTCTTCCTCCCTATATTTCTGTTTATTCTTTACGACTCTTATCATTAAAACAAAGGTTCACCTTAACTCCTAACAATTTCATGGCCTCCAAAATACATCTTAAAAATTATCGCTAAGTGCTGGTTGCACAGCATCTTGAGATTGGGGTATTTGCTCTGTGTAAATATTTGATCAAGATTTTGTCCCCAATCTAAAGTACATTCCTGACACTCATTGAATCCTGGGGGAAAAAAATATGTTTTATTTATAGTTAGTTCACAGGTACATGTACATACATGGTGCTCAAGCGCTCAGGTCGTATTTTGTGTTGAGTGGCATTTAGCAAATAATCATACTCCCCACGGTATTATTTTCTTTCAAGCATTTAGTTTGAATTGTAAAATTCCCACCAGTCATGGCCGAAATACATAAACCGAAAAAAATGCACAAGAGTGCGTTGTTTAGAAATAAGAACATTGACATACTTAAAAGATTCTGTTCTTTATACACCATATTGTATGTATGTGTCACGGTGGGTAGGTAGTTTCAGGGTTAATGTCATTCTGAATTGGTTTTCCGCCATTTTGAGTTTTAGAATACAAATATACATACAAAAAACAATGGGACAGGTATGTCAAAAATGACACGCCTGAACGGGTTTAATCTGTCGGACGTGTTTTGTTTTTAGCCTCACTGGGTCAATTCAGCCGTTGGCCTGTGTATTGTACTTGAACAGCTATTAAGGGATATATATATCCTGCATAAATATT